TAGTATATAGTAAATGAAGAAAATCATGCCACTAATTTCCAGTCTCAGCATTTAAATTAGACTTTGTACTGAGTTGGAGATTTTGGGGATCTTTCTGGGATAAATTGGAAGATTTCATAAATTCTCTAGGTCGTGCTGATATCAAATCTAAAAAGCCTTATGCTACTTCCAAAACATTGGGTTTAAAGGGAAAGGGTTTTTTCTATGCAACTAAGATTTTGCTAATTTCTACAGGTCAGTGGCTCAAAGTTTTACTATCTGAAGAATGAAGCGGTACTCCTAGAGATGGCCCTTATTAACTGGACGCTCTTGGAAGTCATGAAAAGGGGCTTCACACCTTTAACAACCCCTGAAATTGTAAGATCTTCTGTTGTTGAAAAATGTGGTTTCCAACCCCGAGGAGCAAATACCCAGGTTAGTTCAAACATTCTCTTTCTCGTAGTCTGCTAAGAAATAAAATGTTGTCTTATCTCTGGCTAAATATAAACAGGTGTATTCTATTGAGGATAGTGATCAGTGCCTCATCGGCACAGCAGAGATTCCTGTTGGGGGAATTCATATGGATTCTATACTTGCTGCATCATTGTTACCTCTGAAATATGTGGCAGTTTCCCATTGCTTCCGTACTGAGGCAGGCGCTGCAGGTACAGCATCAAGGTAAATTATCAACATTTCCAGTGACCTCATATATCCTTTGTGGTTTATACTTCATCACTTTCTTAATCTACTTTAAATTATTAATTAAACGCAACAACATATCTATTTCTCTGTCAAAAAACAATTTTTTATTAACAGAAAACAAAAGAAATTATAAGAAGCGCGAGCAAGTAGTTAAATGCAACGGCGTATGAATACATAAACCAAATTGGTTCACCCTTTCTTTGTGAAAAATACTCAAACCACTTGGGTTATGGTCCCATATTATTGTTAATATTCCTATTTTTTCTAAACGGCATCTGCAAAATTGGAAATTTCTATCCGTGACTGTCCAAATATGCCAACATGATGAATGTCATCATGCTTTAATTATCCAGTCTATCCAACCCAAATGAGGTGGCTTTTGTATAGTAGTCAATGAATATCAAAATGATTTGTGGTGTTATATGCCTTGAACTTTGAAAGCATTTTTTTCATGCCCGCTAGTGATAGGGATCCACTGGTTGGCTCTCTTGTAAGCAATGTTTATTTTCTATCCACAAGAATCTGGGAGTGGAATATGTGAATGATACACCAATTTTCAATCTAACTTTCTGTAGTTTCGGTTTGTAACTTGTAAGTGACAGATTGAAATCTTAAGTAAGATGCGTTCTGCCTACTATGTGCAGTCCAAAATATGGCATGGTTTATTGTCTCTGTTTTTGTGGACATGCAGAAGCATTCTTATCAATTGTATTAAATTTCTAAACAGTGGTCCAAAATCAAATTTTTGTTACAATTTCTGCGGTGGCAATATCTCCATATGGTGGAAGGTTATACCCCGTAGGTTTTTGTTTTTCATAGTCTTGTGTGCAAGTAGAGAATATTCTGTAAGACTTGTAGGCTTTGTCCATCGTACGATAAATTGTTTTTATTCTGTTCAGGGGTCTGTATCGCGTCCACCAATTCAGCAAGCTGGAGATGTTTATATTATGCCGACCCGAGGATAGTGATTTGTACCATGAAGAGCTCATAAGAATTGAAGAAGACCTGTTTTCATCGCTAGGATTACACTACAAGTGAGTACTTCTACACAACCTTCTGATTGTTCAGCTGATTTGACTTTTCTATGTTTACGGTAATGTCGAGTTTCTTGACAGAACTTTGGACATGGCATCTGGGGATTTAGGTGCGCCTGCTTATCGTAAATTTGATATTGAAGCATGGATGCCTGGTTTAGCAAGATATGGAGAGGTATTGCAATGATCTCTCCCCTTGAAAGAAAAAAGGAACAAAACTTGTTCTTGGTTTCATGGGCTAGGCTATAAAACTGCTAGTTCAAAGTTGTTTTTTGAGGTAGCAAAGATTTATGTTTTTGTTTGATTATTCTGAAATCTTCTAACCAATATGAATGGCGGACAGATATCAAGCGCATCGAACTGTACAGACTATCAAAGTCGTCGTCTTGGGATCCGGTTTCGTTCTGCAGAACCAGCGTTAACAAATCCTAAGAAGGGCAAAAGCAGCCTCGCTCCACCAGAGTTTGTTCACACACTGAATGCAACGGCCTGTGCAGTACCACGAATGATCGTATGCATACTTGAGAACAACCAGCAAGAAGATGGCTCGGTCATTATCCCTGAGCCATTGAGGCCCTTTATGGGCGGACTTGAGTCCATATATCCCAAACCTAGGTAGGATGATGTTGCAAATTATATTTGTTCGGAAATTTCTGTGGGATCATTCTTTGGTTATGAGATTTTTCATAGGTGGGAGTGGGGAGTGTAAGAAAAGCCTACAAATACAGCGGTCATTTCTTAAAGTTTATTTGGAATCCTTGGCATCGAGAGATGATCATTATAGAGTGTTTTGAGCTCTGTTGCAACAAATCGCATTGTGTATGTCGTCGCGCAATGCTTTTCTTAGGATTCAAACAAGTCTGCACTTTTGGGTGTTCCAGATAGGTGGATTTACCTGGGCGGCAAGGCAACCGAAGCTGCCTCGCTCTAAGATTGTATGAAAACACCACATTTGAGAATGTCCCTCCTATGAAATCTGTCCTCACCAGCAGCATCAGCTTCAATTTTATTACCTATATAGGCAATGGCAGACAATTTGGTTCTGTATGAAAACAGCACAAAACCAAGAGGACTTTTTGTGATTTAAAAACTCATTTCTCATTTCAGGAGAAACGAGCAACTGAGATGCTAAGGGGTTTTAACTTGCGTATATAAAATGACGTGATTAGTTTGGAATACCGTCATCTCAATCTCCCAGTGCATATTATTTTATTCATTTCTCAGAAGACGCAAATAAATCATAAACAAAAGAAACTTACAGAAGGAATGGGATATTTTGGGGCGTTGAGGTTGGCAGTGGCAGGAGGAAGTGGTAGAAATGAAGGGACTGTTGAGACGACGGACACTGCCATTGCCGCCACTGCGCTGATTACTGTCTATCTTTGAGAATCACTGTCTTGACTGGCAAGATTCAATAGTCTTTATGTTCACCCCCAGAATTCGTCATGAGCCTCATGGGCATGTCGGAAATTTGCTCGAACAAGAAACTGGTGATTGTGAGCGTGCCACTATTAGTTGCCGCTAGTAGACAGGTTTGAACGGTTGAGATCGCGCATGAGTTCGACTTCTAACCAAGAGATTGCGTCATTGAGTGGGAGCGGCTCAAATCAAGGTTCTCTCTTTGCCTTAAAGATAAGGACTTTACTTATGTGGAGAAATGTAACAATATGTAAATGAAATGACAAAGTTGCTAGAAGTGTAAAGGACAAAGGAAAATAAATGACTGGTATTGTAAATTGTTTGTAAATTAAATGATTGGAAATGAGTTGTATAGAAATGTAATTATTTAAAGTACAAAGCATTATAAGTAGACCTGTAAATGGGTCGGGTTCAATCCGACCCGTTAAGTTAACGGGTCATCCGAACTCGACCCGTTAACACCCGTTAACAATTATTATTATTTTATTTTTTTTGCATAGAGTTTATTTTTTGTTGTTAAGACTTTACTGAAATTATTAAAACATCCTCAACTAACGGGTCTAACAGGTTGACCCAAAATGACCCGTTAGCGACCCAACCCGTTAAGCATCCCCCCAAATACTAATATTAACGGGTCGGGTCGGGTCCAAAATGTCAGGTCTAATTATAAGTACAAAGGGATGCCAAATACAAGGTTCGAGCTTGTTCCCAATGGATCAGGCAAGTTGCTCTAGCCTTGTGGCAATTTCTGGTGGTTTGGGGAATGGCTTTGAAGGTTGTAAATAAAAATACAAAGGAGATCAATACTATCGAGTTAGCAGTAGAGCTAAAAACAAGGAAAGTAGAGGGTGCTTGGCTAAAAGTAAATGTTTACAAGAAAATTGAGGAGCTGATTTGAGTAAAGTTGCTTGATTGATTGGTTAAGTGTCTTTAATTCTTTTGCGTCTGCTTCTTTATATAGAGTGCTGAGAAAGTGATTTTGCTGAGAACATTGAACTTGTAGAGAGAAGCTCCACTACCAGCTTGCATATGAAATAATATTAAAAGAGGCAAGCTTGCATTTCCATCACATGTCTCTCTCCCACTTGCAATAAATTAATAATTAAAATAAACAAGTTAGTTTCTTTCACCACATATACATCTCCTAAGTCTGCCAACATCCTTACTCACAATAAAGCCACCACTTTAAACCATGTGGAGATACATTCTCACATGCAACTTTTGGTATATTTGCACACTAATCCCCAAAAATGTCACATTTTAGCTTTAAACCTAAGTAAAATTTTGCATATTTTAGGTGCAAACACTTTTAGTCTTTCTTCAAGTGGTGGAGGCTGGGGAGGGAGAGAGAGTGACAGTAACACCGACTTATGATATTGTGTTATCCTATCTTTAAGCCCACGGGATCAATATTGATGAGAACCCCAAGTCTAAAGTAAAGACTAACAATTCCAAACAACAAAGTTTTGTGTCAACATGTAACTGTAACATCGTCACATAATTGTAATATAAACACATATTATAACATGGGTTAATTGAATTTGGTAATCCAGCACAAATAAGCTTCTCCGAATTACTCTAGTACAATTTACACATTGTTATTTCTTTGATTACTTTTGTTAGAAGAGTTTCATACAAGGGGTTAAAAGGTCATTTTGATTTAACCATTTGTGGTCTCAGTGGCAAAAAATTATGGCGTATGCAATCACTCTCTTTCTTTTTCATCACGTGACTCAATACATATTCACATAGTTACATTCCAAGACACACCATGAGACGTAAATTTGAAAATTTTAAAGCAGCTAATGCGGACTGTGAAGGGCTTCTACTAAACTGAAGAAAAAAAAATGCAGACAATAACCGAGATAGAGTCAAATTCTTTCACTTATACTGCATCAAATAGTTACGAATACACGAAGAGTGCTTGTTCCTTTGGAAACAAACAAATGATCTATTTTCGTATCCCCCAACGTGAATCATTCTATATCGAACTCTAGAAACTTTGGAAAGCACATAAATGGAAAGCCCTCTTTCCAGCGATCCATTCCCTGACCTGAACGTACTTGCATTTTACTCTTCATCAACACTATAACAACTCACCACCAGCTATCTAAACTCGGGATATACACACTTCGCTGTCCTATGCATACAACCGAAACACAAACTTCTAAGTTACAATAAATTGTAAAGAAAGATTGTGTCACCACCCTACCAGTGCAGGAACCTTTTCGTTAGAGGAACCATTTCGTAGTTTTGAAATCTCTGAGATGATTAGCGAGCTCTTTGCATTGGCATTTCTTTTCTACACAAACAATCTGGTAAGGGGTTCTCGTAAAAGGGTTCTTCCGAACGAAGCTTATCCTTCCCCCTAAGTCCTGGAGCAGGACCTCTTCTTTTCCGTGGGGAGCCTTGCCTGCATAACCACCATCACAGACAGTTATGAAAAATAAGGATAACAGAAAAATCGTTATTTGTGAATGTTTACAATTCACAATAACCAGATATGATATTGGTTGGGATAAAGTGATTGTCATGGAACTTCAAATCTTTAGGTGAGAAATCACACACCGTTTCCTGTGCATTTGAACAACTCTATTTGATAAGGTTTTGCCTTCCTCAAGTGTTCCCTGCTCAAGTTTGTCAAACAGAGAAACAAGGGCTTTTCTGATAAACACACACAAGCACAAAACAGATTCAGTTTGCGGCATATCTGGTCAGAGCACGGTGTTTGGAGTAGTTCAAAACATATCATTCCAAAAAGAAATCGCCTTGCCTGTCAGGGTTTATTGTTTTCCTGTGTCCAAGAAAGCGACGGTGACCTTCAACTGCCGCCGCCATATGTCCTGGATATGTAGGTATAAATACATCACTTTCAACTGAAACAAGGTAGTCAAGCGCAGCCATTTGAGACGCATGATTGGTAAAAGGTTCAAGCTCCTCAACGGATGCCAAGGTTTCCTGAAAGTGAAAACCAGCATTACAGTCCATGTGTCAGGATTTCAGACATACCCAGATATGTCCGAATGACAAAAAATTTCAAGATAAATTGAATAGATATATAGATGTTCATTTGGACTTCCTCCTGATCATTTTCTTAGTCACATGGGAGACTTGCTGCTCTGATGTCATTTTCTACATTTCTAAAAGAACTTTATCAGTTGTGCATAACAATCCACATGACTCTTAATCAATATCTGTTTTATCTCTGATAATCTGCACTGCATATATCAGCAGGTTCGCCACCTTTGTTCACACCAATAAATCAAAATCTCAACGCCCACTCAAACTTTATGGATAAAATTCTAATTTGAGTATGGCATTAGCTCTTGATGGTTTTAATGATGTACAGCCATAGAGAAATCTTTCTTCGTACCCAGATTTTAAAAGAAACAAAAATGTGTGGCCAGATGACAGTGAAATGCACAAGATAACATTCCGTCTGAGATTATAATTCTAAGTAATTTGGGCCCCCAAGAAGAGTAGCAGTACCATTAGTTCAAAATAGTATTAACGGATATGGCCAATATATTGGATCGACTAATGTGCCGAGCTCCCTTGCTACAGCAGTCGTGATACTTTTCTATCTACATTCTATATAAATTGGAATGTCATATATTCAATTTAAACTTCAAGGTCAGCCACAGACATTCTAAAAGTTTCATTATATTCCATTCAGAGCTCAGTTATTTAACAAAACAGAAAAGATCAATTATAAACATCAATGATACCTTGCTCTTCAGTATGGGATAACGGGATAGTAGATCAGCCATACGAGAATCACCATATATCTTTCCAGCAGCAATGTAGATAGGTGTGTTTGGTGGGTACCCAAGAGCACTGAGAAAAATTCCAGTCTCCCTTGGAGTTAATGGGCAATACCCGCTGGATCTCTGTTCTATGGAATTAATTTCCTTGTTTCTCCAGGTTTTTGTGTTCTCCCTGCATGTTCCAAATAAAACAGGCATCACAAAAGCTCAAGGATTAACCAACGTGACAGAATTTCTCCCAACATAAGTTTTTCATACCGGATGATCCTTAGTTCATCAGCTTCAGATGGAGTTAAATCCTGCGTGCATCCACTAAAGGCAAGCATGTCCTTCTCAAATCGTAAATGAAGGGCAATAAAAGGACCAAACGACCTCATCCGATCAACTAACAACTAAAACATTAATGAAACAAAAATAAAATTGTAAAATAGATGGAATAGGACTAAAAAGTTATAATAGGCATTCCAGAAATCAAACTAGCATGTAGATCTAAGAATTTACTTTTCCCATTGCTTCAATTTGAGGTGTAAAACGCAGAGCTTCATAACAAGCACGACAGCGAAGTTTCTGTATATCTAGAGGTAGGTTGTTATTTGCTAAGCGAGCATCAGCTTTGGAGGCTCGAATAACCTTAGAAAAAGAATAAAGTGTTTAACAAGATGATTTTGATTAATTCAAAAAAGAATATATAAAATACATTGCATAAACCAGAGTGTTCCAGAAACCACACCTCGTACACTTCCCAGAGACTAGCTATCTCATCTTGGTAATAATCCATACTAGCCCAGCTTCTGAAAAGCTTTAGTGCTCTGGGACCAGAAGCAAGTTCCTTGGGAAGCTTTTTTACAATTTTAACATCATTAGCTAGAGCCTTGATAAAATGATCTTCGTCAAAAACATCTGAGAAGTTGCTGCGCAACATATATAGGGAACAAATTTTTGCATCAAGGACATAATAGCTAAGAATAAAACAGAATTCAGAGTGTAAAATAAGTGACAGTGTTACCTAGAGTCTTTCCAAAACGACCGTTGATCAAGTTCTGGAATAACAAGAGTGGCATTTATGATGCGGGCTACAGCTACCATGTCACATATCTGGAATTCAAGGATGACACATTTCAGCTCCATTCAATAATCAGATGACGATATTCATAAAACTATCATGTACATGGAGCCAAGCAAAATATTCTATGGCTTCTGTGTCTACCATTGTGAAACACACTAATTGGCCATCTAAATAGATTTGTTGCGTGATGTCATGTAGCCTACCACGATGGTAAGAATTGTGCAGTTCTAAGGTTTTTATCACTTAAATCTTACATAGGTACAGACCAAACCCCACAACATATAGGCAGGTACAGCCGAGTCAAAATTGTGCACCATGAAGTCCATGTTTTTATAACTATAGAAATTGCAGCAACCAATTAATATTTGCAAACTGCAACTGGATAAAATAATGAGACAACTCTCAAAGCTTAAATGCCCTATTTAGTAATAGAAAAGAAAGAGGGATAAAGGCCTATCCCAAAACTTTATGCAAATACAACTTGAGATCCCAATGTGACAGATTAGAATCAGATTATTGTTTCACATTAGTAATATGAGTGAGATTAGAATCAGACTATTTTTCCAGAGTCTATCAATGAGAAAAAAAACAATATACAACAACAACAACCACTAAATATCCCACTAAGTGGGGTCGGCTGTATGAATCCTAAAACGCCACTGCGCTTGGTTTTGCGCAAGTCTTTCGTTAATTACATTCGCAGAAATCAAACACTGGATCCATCCATAATCCTAACCCATTAACCCACCCTCTCTCACGGTCACACCGCTTGGGCTAACCTCAAGGGATTAACATAAATGAATTTTTGCTACACACATTTCAAAATCAAAATGTGGACAAGATCAAAATTCAACACAATACATTTGAGAAAGAGAGTGTGTTCATATACCCCTGCACGCATCTGGTTGAGACCACCATTTGTACGCACTTGAAAGTAGCCCCGTGACTCTGCAGGAGCTGAATAAACAACAGTAAAGTGGAAATTAGGAACACCAAGGATATGTCATTATGTCATAGCTACACAATAAATCTCTACCAGTAACTTACGTGTATAGTTCGGAGTTGGCTCTACACACTGCACAAAATCGGGAGTCGGTGGAATCTTCCATAGCTTGTCATCCAATATCCGACTTGTATCATCCAACTGTCAAGTCTAAAGGAGTGAAAACATGAAAGATGTATAACTTTGTCACATGAACAAATGTATCTAAAGTCTACAAGATTAAGACCCAAGTCCTAACTCCTAACGAAAGGAATATACAGCTTCTATTGTGTTTCTTTTCTCTTTTTCGCCAAAGGTAATGTGTTCAGTAATATCTTATTCCGTTGAATCGTAATAACGCAAACCATGAAGTTGATGCATTCAAATTCTTCTTCTTTAGTTTTCCTAGGTTGTCACAATATCAACATTCAAGTGGAGTGCATAAAGGAATCATCAATCATATACGTATCGATCATTTGATACTTTTTCGGAACCAAACATACTTGTAAATGAACAAACCCAATAGTAATGCATACATAACAACAACAAAAACAACAACGAAATTGAAATCTGCAGCATTTTTCATACAGACCCAACATTAATATTGTCGAAAAAAGTAAACCCATATCGTAAAAACTACAAAAGCTTCAAGAAAAATATCGAAAAATTGAATGAATTTGCAATTGCATTTTCTGGAAATAATAAGAAAGTGCGACAACAGAGATGGGTCGGATAAGGAGATCACCGTGGGAAGCTTGACGGGGTCGGAGAAGTTAGGGACTTTGGAGAAAGAGAAGAGAGCCACTAGCGCAATTAAGCATACGGCGCACGTTAGCACCTTCCTCACTGTCGCCAATGTTCTCCAGCTCTTCCTCTGCATCTGGTATCTGAAGCTCACTCATCCAGAGGCCTCGCCTGCAAATCCAAATGACGGGAAGGCTTTGGTTTGTGGGTTTTGTTGGGTTCGCGGGTTTTGGCGCTGATCTAAATCGGTTCGCCCGAACTCGGGCGTTTGTGACTGGATTTACGCTGCTTTTCGTGTGCTTTCTGGGTTTTTGCCGCTTTGGTAGGTTGTTTAGTTTGTTTTTGAGCACTGGTTAGTTCGCAATAAAAAACAAAATGAAACAAAAATTCATTTGATATTTATTTTATTTTTGACGTTAATTTCTAATTTTCATTTTCAGGACCCAATCAAAGTTTTGATCATTGAGTTAAAATTTTGGGAGAGCAATGATCTTTTTAGAAAAATCTGTCAGAATATTGTCTCGTATTTGACACTGCCAAGACCTAAAAATGTCACATGCAATCCAACCAAATATCGAGGCCCGAATGTCATGAAATACCCCAAACTAAGTCCAGACAAAGGAGCAGAGCCACTCTAAAGGGATCAGAATCCTCCCCTAAGCTCAAGGGTGAGGATCTGACCAAGCCTATCAGGCTATAAATATGAGATTTTTTTTTTAAAATTGTAATAATTGTAACTGTTGAATAAAATTTCAACGGTCTGATAGACTTGGCCAGAAGGATCCTCACTCTTAGCTTAGCTCATGAGAGGATCATGATCCCACTCTAAGGCCACCGTAGGCCTACCCTCACTACCCTTTCTAAATAATTTAGTACTATGTATATGCATATATACATGCCTTTTATGTAAAGGGATCCTTATTTTTTTTCAAAAACTAGGGATTAGGTGTGGGGCTCATTCCACATTGAACTTCAACAATCCGAACCATCTATTTTGTAAGTCTCGTTTCATAGATCATCCTTACAAAAATTCAATGCAATTCAATCCAAAATCATTTGTCTATTTAATTATCAAGATAAAATTTCATTAATTTCGTTGTTTCTTATACAACAAAAATTATTCGTTAATTTCTTTGAACTCAATTAGATGTCTTAAACATTTTCGATTTGGCTAATACTTTGCAAGGATGATCTATGAGGTGCAACTTGAAAAATAGACGGTTCGGATCATTAAAGTTTGATGTGGTGTGGACTCCACAACTAATCCCTATTTTTATAAAAAAAAAATGAGGATCTTTTCCATTAAAGGTTTCCTATATATATATTTAATGACACACCCCGATCCTAGAATCAAGGCGTGCTGGTCGTCACGTGAGTGTGACGTAGCCAAAAGTGCGACACGGAAGCAAGATATAACAGAAATATGAAGGAATTTAAACCAACCACTAGCAGTAATAACCTACTAGCATCAAAGAGAGAGTTATAAAGTAAAACACACGAATTCAGAGCGTAGGTATAAGTGCAGTCAAGTAGGACCATAATTAAAGTACAACACCCGCAAGTGAGTCCTACATGCAGAACGTCTGTCAGAATGCCGAAAAAGACCTCGTGAGCCACCAACTGCTAACTAGAACCTGGAGGGGCGCAAAACAAAGATGAGTGGGTCAGTAAAACCAAAGATTTTCCAAAACATTTCATTTAAAACATTTCTAACCCCTCACCGTAAAACCTGTATACTTTCCCAGAAAAATAGTATATAAACATATATATATCAACAAAAGCTCAAATCACAATCCTTCAACGCTTTTCAGAAAGAATATGTCATGCCATGCCATAATATAATATGAATACATCAATATAATCAGGTGAAATAATAAATCAACCGGAGACCCTACAATGGTCCTGTACGGCTGATTCTATAGCTCAATATCCCATCAAGCCGGAGTCACCAACTGTGACCTGTACGGCACTATACTGCACATAAGTCGGAACTACCTAAAGTAGTCTGTACAACTAAGATGGTGAAATAATACGCTCTAATGCTTCTCTCATCAATCATCTGTGCACATAATCTAAAGTCACCCACCAGTCGGAACCCCTCTAAAGGTCTGTACGACTGGCATGTCGGAACCACCTCTAGTGGTCTGTACGACATCCACTTATTTGGATCCAAGGCGAGCGTGCGGTGTGTGAATACTATAAGCACTAATACCAAAGGTGCAGTTTATGAGCTCACAACGCAATCACATCATCATTCATTCATATAAACCATATAAACTCACCTGATACTCACTTGTGCGTCCACAGCGTCAATTCACATATATATGCATCAATTATCAGTTCAAACATCTCAACAATTGCATGCGTGGCATTTAAAAACATATTTTCATATAATTGCATTTTCTGGGAAAACAGTAGTATATAGGTAATACGAAAACAAAACTGCCCATTCACTGGTAAGTCGATGGGTCGTAACCCCCGTGACGTCCCTGGATGCGCTCGTCCTCGGGATAGGTGTCACCGGAGAAATTTCACAAAAACCGGCCAACTTTGAACGTGGTGATCCCGACGTCCAAAACTTCCAAACGAACGTCCCCGAGCTTCCTTAGAACCTCCCTAAGCTCACTATAAGCTTGGATTGTCCTGAAATGGGTGTGGTTGAGTTCGTAGAGTCCTCACGAGCACGATGGTGTCTTCAAAATCCTCGATCTATGAAGTTTCAGGGGGCTTTGGCGTTGGTCTGTACGGTTCGAGAATGAGAGAGAGACTGTATGGAGAGGAGAGAGAGAGAGACACGGGGAGGGAAAGGGAAAAATGTCCCGAGGGTGTGTGGTCACCAACAAATCCCACGTCAAACCCTAACCACACAAATTTACAAAATCATTTTTTTATCCAAACTTAACTTATTTTCCAAGAACTTAGGGGTGTATATATTTAACCAATAATGTGACACACGTACCTTAGTCCCCGCTAAGGGGTAATTCCGTCATTTCACGCTCCCGATATAGAATTTTCGGGACGGGCTGTGACATTTAACATCTTATTTAAAACTGAAATCTAAATTCTAGTTTAGTTTTATCAAAAATTAATCTTTTACATTGCCAACTGAAGAATAATAAACTTTTAAGTTTTTCCTCCTCCGTTTCTTGAAATTTCATATATTTTGTCTCTGTTCTCTTTAACTTTTTACTAAATTTTTCAAATTTCATATATTTTATTCTCCAAATTCTCAATTCATTCTTCTCATTTTTTGTTTCAAAATTCTCAATCTACTTGACCCATATTTTGAGACGACATGATTATATAGTAGTTTCTGGTTGGACTGCTTCTTTAAATTATTAAAGAATGAATTCAATCATCAACAGACACATTACGTTGTCTCCAAAATATGGTCTAAAAGAATGGTTCTTAGTATTTTTCATTGACTTGATATTAGAGGGTTAGTTTCTCTTGATCCTCTTTAATTTTTTATTAATTATGACTTGATAATGGAATGTTAACTTCAACATAGAACAAATCATTTAAAGCCTCAAAAAATTAATTAGCTCACAATTTCAAGCATGTATTATACTCTCTTGTAAATAATATCTATTTATTTATTATTTTGACATTTATGTGAGGCCCCTCCTTACCTAAAATCCTAGCTCTCCGCCACTACCCAGACACATACAAAGGTGTGGAATCAAGAAAGAAAAATATTCAAAATTATGCTACGCTATTAAAATAATGATAAATGGACTGGATGCTTGTATAATCACGTCATGCCCCTGCAAATCCATACATATTCATTACGCCAAACTCTATTACGCTAACTATGATACACGTTAAAACAAGCCCAAGCCACGTGTTGGGACTTTCCAAGTAAATTGTGGCATGGATAGTTACAGAAGTTTATCAGCCTTACGCAGAAAAATCCGTTCGAAGATTCTACGGGTTTTGGATTTGGGGAAAAAATGGTTTAGGGTATGCGAATGAAACATCCAAACTCGATACGTCCGTTGCCATCCCTGTTACCTATTACCGCTACATTGGCATCCCAATTGTAAGCAAGTGTATCTCTTGACTTAAGCTAAAAAGAGGAACCGTAAACAGAGAACAAAATTCTATAACTTTTATTGCATCGAATATTACTCTGATTACATGAAGAGTGCTTGCAACTTTTTGGAAACAAGCAATTTAACTATTTTCGTCTCCCCAATGAATCATTTTTATCCAGTTCTAGAAAAGTAGAAACCCGGCCAAATTTGCAAAGCTCATAATATACTGCCTTGGTCATAAATGGAAGCCCCAACCCCGGCATCTCGTTCCCTCATCTGCATACTCTTCTACTCAAGCAGTTTGCTCTTCATCAATGCTATGATGTACCGCCACTGCCACCACCACCACCGCCAGCTACCAAAATTCAGGATATACACACACTCCGCGTCCCTATGAGTACAAGCGCAACACTGGTTTGTAATAAATTGCAAAGAAAGATAGTTTCACCAGCCTTCCAGCACAGGAATTTCCCTCAAGAGTAAACCTTTTCGCTATTATCTGAGACGATTAGAGAGTTGTTTACATTGGGAATTCCTTCTTACACAAACAATCTGGTAAAGGGTTCACGTAAAAGGGTTCTTCTGAACGAAACCTTTCTGTGCCCTTAGTTCCTGAAATGGGACCCTTTCTCTTCCGCGCGGAGCCTTGCCTGTTTAACATCCGTTGAAGACAGTCAATTATGAAATATCGGGCTTTAAACGCCATTCAATAATTGAGAAAACAAGAAATTATGATTTGTGTACACAATAACCAGAAATGGTATTGGTTTGACCAAGTGATTCTTATGGAACTTCAAGGCGTTGGTGAGAAATATCATACCGTTTCATGTGCATTTCAATAACTCTATTTGATAGGTTTTTGCCCTCCTTCAGAGTTCCCTGCTGAAGTTTGTCAATCAGGCGAACAAGGGCTTTTCTGTGGAACAGATAGAAGCACAGAAACAGAATGAGTTTGCAACTCTTTATGGCCATAAAATGATATTGGGAGTAGCTCAAATCTGCATACATTCAGAAAATAAATCGCCTTGCCTGTCAGGAGATATTGTTTTCCTGTGTCCAAGAAATCGTCGATGACCTTCAACTGCTCTTGCCATGTTTCCAGAGTATGAAGGTATAAATACATCACTTTCAACTGAAACAATGTAGTCAAGCGCAGCCATTTGAGATGCATGATTGGTAAAGGGTTCAAGCTCCTCGGCGGATGCCAAAGTTTCCTGACAGTGAAGACCAATAAATCCCCATGCAAATTAATTACATTATACAAACAACAACAACAACAAAGCCTTTTCCCACTAAGTGGGGTCGGCTATATGAATCCTAGAACGCCATTGCGCTCG